GAGGGGGAGCCGACAGGGAGGCACGCTGCTTCTTCCCAAGCTCCTCCCCTCGTTCCGCTGTTCTCTCTCCTTCGAACTAGCTTTCCTCCCTCCCGGGGACACATGTGGTATATGGCCTGGAAGCTCCGTATCCTCCGGTCAGATAGCAGAGGTATAAACCATTGGCTCTCAAGTGCCCTTGGTTAGGGGAGATAAGGTTTTGAGATTTACCCGATTCACCCTCTATCTGTCAGTTGCTCCAGCCGTTTGGACTGGTTTCACTTCCTGGTCTCAATTTCCCCAGCCCACTTGTCCAGGAATTTCCCCAGCTTCTTGCTATCCCATCTCAACGCCTCAACATCACTCTGTGGTTCAGGGACGCTCTGGACACAGCTCCCCGTTGCAGGCTCCTGCGTGCATTAGCTGGTGGGTCCTGGACTTCGTCTCTCTGAGGACTGGAACGATGCTTGGCCCAGGAAGCACACATTGTATGAAAAGTCCAAAAAAGGCCAATCCCTAGAGAGAGAAAGCAGATTCGATGGGTGGCGGCCTGCAGCTGGGAGGGAGGGACCTGAGAGGAAATGGGGAGTAATGCCTTCTCTGGGCACCGGCTCCTAACACGGATGGCCGCTGCGGGTGTGCAGCTCGGCACCCGCTCTGCTCTATAAGCCACTAAAAACCAATGAATTGTATATTTTATTTAAAAATTTTTAAAGATTTTATTTATTTATTTTTAGAGAGAAGGGAAGAGAAGAAGAAAGTGGGAAGAAAACATCAATGTGTGGTTGCCTCTCGAGCGCCCCCTACTGGGGACCTGGCCTACAACCCAGGCATGTGTCCTGACTGGGAATCAAACCAGCAACCCTTTGGTTTGCAGACCAGCGCTCAATCCACTGAGCCACACCAACCAGGGCCGCATTGTATATTTTAAATGAGTGAATTTTATAGTATGTGAATTATATCTTGTCGACTGGAAAATCATACCAACGAGGTGTTTTGTCACCAAAAAGGATGGATTCAGGAAAAAGAAGGTCTGCCGCCCAGAGTGTGCAGACACGGTGAGCCAGGTGCACACTCCCACGTGCTGACGTGAAGGGGCATTTATAGATGGGAAAAGGAAATTAGAAAAGGAGGAAGTTAGAACCATAGACCTGTGTTATAAACAGAGTCTTTCCTGCAGGGTTCTCGTGATACCTCAGAGTACAAATACTGCCATAAATCAGCTCCTCCCACAGGCCCTGTTGACTGATTGTGTTTGCTTAAAGTTCTGGTGAGTCTTTATCAAGCTCAATAAAGCTTTTATTAAAATTGACCCACACCTGGTTCATAGACACATGTGGTAAGCATTGGCTATTCTCACACCCAGAGAAGAGCCTGCTGCTCCTTGTCAGCTCTGAGGCAGGGACCAGTGGATTCCCATGTTCACAGGAGGGTGGGCTGGTGGTGGGTAAAAGAGGGGAAAAAAGAGACAGCTCTGAGATCGTCAGGGAAATTATAATTTAAGGGGTATTATATAACATTAAGATTTCTGTTAATGTTTAGCCCTAGGAATGACATAGTGTTTGTTGCACATTTTTTAAAGATCTTTTAAAAATTTATTCTTACAGAGAGGGGAAGGGAGGGAGAAAGACAGGGAGAGAAACATCGATGTGCGAGAGAAGCACCCATTGGTTGCCTCTCACGCCCCGCCCCCAACCCGAACCGGCAGGCAACTGAGGCCTATGCCCTGACACGGACTCAAAGCAACGACGTTTTGGCCAGGGCTTTTTTAAATTGTGAAAGTCTGTTTATTCAAACTGGGGACAGTAAAACAAGGAAGGGCTTAGGACAAAAGGAGCAACAGGAGAAAGTTAGGTGGGGCTGCTGTTGGCTCACCGAGAAATGTCACAGGGAGAGAACTGAACCCAGGCGGGGCTGCTTTGGTTCACTGGAGAGTCAGGGAAAGGGGGGCCTTGGAGACAGGTTCTGGGGTGAGCCCGGGACGAGCTGCTGCTGCCCATCGCTCCCCGGGTTGGAGGTCTCGTGGGTCCCTCAGCATTTAGGACATATGTGCCTGTGGGGGAAGAGGGGGAGGGGGAGGTGTGGGCGTGCTCCGGGGAGGGAGAGCAAGCTGTTACACATCTTTAAATACGGATGAGACACGGATAAAACAAGACTGGCGACGTGTGGAAGACTGAGCAATGGGGCTGTTGTGCTGTTCTCATTCTGTGCATGTTGTTACATTAAAATTCCATAAATACATTTTTTAAAGAATTCGCCCTGGCTGCTGTGACTCTGGATTGAGTAGCTGGCCTGCAAACTAGGAGGTTGCTGGTTCGATTCCCAGTCAGGGCACATGCCTGTTTTGCCGACTGGGTCCCTAGCTGGGGGCACGTGAGAGGCAACCACACATGGATGTTTCTCTCCCTCTCTTTCTCCCTCCTTTCCCCTCTCTCTAAAAATAAATTTTAAAAAATCTTTTTAAAAAAATTCACCAAGGTTCTGCACCAGGAGACAAGCTTAGGGTGGCCCAGCCCCAGTTCCCACCCCATGGGTGCCAGTTGATGGCAGAGTCTATGGGTAAGCTTTGCGGCAGAGGCTGGAAGAATGTTCGAAATGGTCCTTCAGTTTTGCTGAATATCTCCCAGTGGGTGCAGAGCCTGTGCCTGACAGGGGTCTAAGGAGTCCCAAGCGGTTCACTCTCAGCTCAGCAGCATCCATGCACCTTCCCTGCCGTCACAGGGAGAGTTCTGTCCACGTTGCCACACACAGCCTGGGGCCCTCTAGCCCTGTGGCCATGGCCTGGGCTCAGATACTCATAAACAAATTTTTCACCCATAGGCACGTCTGGCAAAATGGTCAAACGCCATGGCCATGGGTGATAAGTTCTTGTTCTTTTTCTTTTTAATTTATTTATTTCGACAGAGGGGAAGGCAGGAAGAGAGGGAGAGAAACATCAAGGTGTAGTTGCCTCTCTCGCGTCCCCTACTGGGGACCTGACTTGGCCTGCAACCCAGGCATGCTCCCTGACTAGGAATCGAACCAGTGATCCTTTGGTTCTCTGGCCAGCGCTCAATCCACTGAGCCACACAGCCAGGGCAGGACAAGTTCTTATTATTTAACTTCTGGCATCCCTTGCACCGGTCATGGCATGAAGTGGTAGACGAGAAAAGGAAGTTAGGAGAAGAGGTAGTTAGAACCATAGAGCTCTGTTAAAAACAGAGCACGTGTTCATGGTGTATGTTTAGGTAGCGTGCATACACCTCACCTAAACACGCACTGAAGATACATAAATAGAGCCTGGTGGGGCACTACCAGATCCACCTGCACTGCACGGACTTCACCCCCGGATGAGGAGTTCTGAAAATCCCTTCATTCATTCACTCAGCAAATATGTACAGAGCACCTGCTATCCACCAGGAAATGTTCTAGGCAGTGGGAACACAGTAGGGTGCAAGTCAGTTGCACTTCCTGCTCTCAAAGAACTGTCACCAGCTCTGGCTGGTGTGGCTCAGTGGACTGAGCGCCCACCTGGGAAGCAAAGGGTCGCTGGTTGGATTCCCAGTCAGGGCATAGGCCTGCAGTGCAGGCCAGGTCCCCAGTAGGGGGTGCGCAAAAGGCAACCACACATTGATGTTTCCCTCCCTCTTTCTCCCTCCTTTCCCTTCTGTAAAAATAAATGAAAACAAAATAACTGTCACCGTAGTGGGAGGTGCTGTGGTTGGCGGATGCTGGGTAACAAGCTGCCCCAAAACAGAATGGTTTCACATGCAGAATTTGTTCCCTCTCACAATATGGATCGTCTGGGTGGTGCTCTCCACTTGGTGTTGTCCGAGGTCTCCCTCGCAGCTGCTTTGGGCAGGGAGCAGGGTGGGGACACTCCCCTGAGGCCTCTCTCCTGCGGGGTAGGAGGGACTTCCTCACAGCACGGCAGCTGGAGTCCCAGAAAGCAGGTATCAGTGTTCACGAAAATGTGGACTGTGTCTGTGTGGGACCTTGCTCCTAATCAGGACCCATCACAGTGGGCTGCAGAGTCACCGTCACGGCTTACTAGTGATTGTCCACCTGCTGGTGCCTCTCCCACGGGGCCTCCCTGCTTATCTGCAAGGACCCTCTGAAGCAGGCACTGGCAATTCCTTGGGCCAAGGAAGGTCAGACTCTCACTCAGAGCCCCTCAGCTCACATGTGGCACTGCCGGGATTCGAACCTCGGTCTCTGACGCCCAGCGTGCCCTTCTACTGAAGGGTAGCGCCCTGGTCTGCAGCGAACTCCACGCAGATGGCAGCCACTTCCGCGTTTGCTGGGTGGAAGGATGCCAGGGAGCCCAGAGGAGTGCGAGGGCCCCTGAGGCAGGACGTCCTGGGTTCAGATCCTCGCTCCGCCCACCTCAGCGGTGGTCTCCTGGGAAGGGCTCATCTGCTTCGGTTCCTCTGTAAGAGGAAGAGGATTGCGAGCGCATGCTCTGTGCAGGCATTTGGATAACTGGCCTGCCTGCGCGCGCAGTGAACCTGCACTTTTGAGCGTTTATTATTAGCTGAAGTGGCTTCATGTGCTAAAGAAGCAGGAAGTGTTCCTTTTCTTTCTTTATTTTCATTTCAGAGAGAGAAACATCGATGTTAGACAGAAACATGGATCGGTTGTCTCCATCACGGACCCGAACCAGGGATCCAACCCGCAAGCTAGGTATGTGCCCTGACTGAGAATTGAACCTGCGACCATTTGGTGTACCGGATGATGCTCGAACCAACTGAGTCATACCGGCCACGGCAGGAAGTATCGCTTGTAAAAATCCTGATTGCATCCTGTTTATGGCAGCATTACTCACGGCAGCGGAAAGATGGAAACCATCCAAGTGCCAATCAGTGGGTGCAGGATAAACACCGCAGGTTGCAGACGGACAATGGGACCTCTTCAGCCTTAAAAAGGAAGGGAATTCTGACACACACTACAACATGGATGAAGCCTGGGCACTTTCTGCTGAGTGAAATGAGCCAGTCATAAAAGGACAAGTCCTGTAGGATCCCACTTACCCAAGGTGCTCGGAATAGTCAAGTCAGGCAGACAGGAAGTAGAGTGGTGGGTGCCCGAGGCTGGGGAGAGAGGAGAATCGGGAGTTGCTGTTTAATGCATCAGAGTCTTAGTTTTCTAAGATGAAAAGCACAACACTCTAAATATACTTAACACTCAGTTAGGATGGCAAATTTTGTGTTATGTGTATTTTACCTAAATTTTTTAGAAAATAACTTTGAGCTCAGGGTTCTAATCCTAGGCCTGCTGGTGACAGGCAGTGTGGTTTCGGGCAAGTGTCTGTCCCTCTCTGGGGTTCACTGGACGTCACCACCTCCTGGACTTGGGAGAGTCATGTGGGTTGTGGCTGTTGATAATGTACAGCAGTAAATAACAACAATAGGCCTGACTGGTGTGGCTCACTGGGTTGGGCATCGTCCCATGAAGCGAAAGGTCGCCGGTTCTATTCCCAGTCAGGGCACATGCGTAGGTTCAGGGTTTGGTCCCTGGTCTGGGTGCTTACAAGAGGCAACTGATCGATGTTTCTCTCTCTGTTCTCTCTCTAAAATCAATAAGCATGTCCTCCAGTGAGGGGAAAAAAGAAGGAAAAAAAACCCCTCTCTTAGAGGGTATAGCCTGGGGAAGAGAACGTGGCAGAGATATCAAGCCCCGCCCTGCCCCCACCACCACTGGCCGCACTGCAAGGGGACCTATTTCCAGGGACCTAGAGGACAGACACCTGCTGACCGCTCCATTCAGAAGCACCAAAGATGAAGGTAGACTCGCAGCATTGCTATGTTGCATCCGCACATACCTCTCTCCAGAGCTGAGCGTTAAATTCCTAGGAACGTTGCAAGCTGGTTATGAAGCACGACCATCCTCTAGAGTCAAATTGTATCACTCACCACTGAAAACATTACATCAAAAACAAAGGTTGTGAATGCTCAAAACTCATCACACCTGCCCCACCCCCGGAGTGTTTCACTACATTTGACAATTACCTCTCTCTGGGGTAATTCATGCCTATTGTATCTGTGCGGAGGAATATTCTGTGTGTGCAGATGTGCGTTTCTTTCTGAGGCTGGGTTCAGGGGTGCCACTGCTGGTTGTTTGAAATTGACCACTATTTACACCTCCTCCAAAACTTGCAAATTCTACCAGCCAGGTTTGGGTTTTGGGTTTTTTTTTTCCCCCTCCAGAGAGCTGGTTGTTTAGAATTTGCGAGCCATCCCTGGTCCTGAACAGGAGAGCAGAAGGCTGTGCCTCAACTGGAGAATACTGCCCCCAGGGGCATTTGGGAAATTCATGGGGGCGTTTTTCAGGTGTCACCGTGGCCATCCGAAGCTATCACCGCATTTAGTGACCAGACCAGAGTGACTAAGTTACATAATGAAGAGTTGTCCCGCCTCCCCATGGCTTTTGAATACCCTGTCAGACGTTCTTATGGGCAAAAAATCTGCTTGTGTGTCTCTGAGCCCGGACTCTGCTGTGCGTGTGCGGCTCCCTGGCTTGGGGAAACCGGGTCATTGGTCCTGTAGACTGTCCCACATTCTGGACTTGGCTGATCCGTGCTCACGGTGTCGATTCACTGGCAACTTTATCCTCCTGTTTTCTGAAAACTGGTGATTACAGTGAGAGGTTTGATTGGATTCAAGCTCTTTGTGGGGGGGCGAGGTGGGTGGGTGGCAATCGGGTGGAGATTCCTGGACGGTGCAGGGAACCTCCTGTCACCTCACTCGGGGGCCCAGAGGGGCTGCTTGTCCCTCTCTCAATGTTAAGATTGTTGGGGGCTCTGGAGGTGCCCGCTTCATGCCCCCCAGTGAAACTCCTCGTCAGTCGGGTCCTGGTTTTGGCCGTGGTAGACAAGCATTGCCGGGACCCATGATGTACTGTTAGGGGAAGCAAAATGGTCATTTTCCAAGAGAACCTTCTCTGAAGTAACAGAAACTGAGAAAAGTTGCTATTTGCCAAGTGTTTTTCCAAGATTCTGGCCTGCCTGGTTTCAAATTCCAGCTTCTGTGACTTTCTGGCTGTGTGACGTTGGTCAAGTTCCTTTACCTCTCTGTGCCTTGCTTCCACCTGGGTACCACAGGGCTACTAAGGGTGTGTACCTCACAGATCTGTGAGGATGGAATGAGGTTGGCAGACCAGGTAAGTGCTAACAGTTTTTTGTCAGGATAAAGAAAGACAGGACCCCGAGAGGGCTAAGAGTCAGAAAGAACCTGGCCCAGATGGACTCTGCCCCACTTCCTCCAGGCTGTCTTCCAGGCCTGCCTCTCGGCAGGCAGGTGCGCAGGGAGGACGGGCTCACCGAGCTCCAGCAGCCCAGTCACCCCGCCTCTCATCAGCTCCCAGGAGGCCAGGGCGGAGTTTATCTGCCATAAGGAAGGATGGTTCTGGAGATTTATGCATGAAGAGTTGACCCCAAGAGGAGTGAGCCCGCTGAGCCGCCCTCCGAGGCACTCCCCGATCCCTGCAACAGAGAACCAGGTGAGAGCTGGGAGTGGGGGTTACAGCCCAGAGCCCAGACTCCGCTCGGGCCAAGAGCTGAAAACGGACTTGAGTGCAGGGATTTGGCAACCGGTGACTCGGGTGTCCCCTCCTTGGTCTCTGATCCCCTCTGGGGTGTGTGCCCACGGGGGGCCTCCCAAAGCAGACAGAGGGTCCAGCCCTTCACGCCACGGCTTCCACCTGTCCTGCACCGCCCCCCCCCCACCCCGCACCCCAGCCATCTGCAAGCCGGCACCCTCCTCCGCACCCTCCCCAGCTCCTGTCCTTTCTCTTCCCTGCAGATTGATTACATGAGCCCCACCGCCTCTGTCACCTTCCCCACCCCAGGCCACCTGCTCTCCCCCGCGCCCGCCCGGAGTCCCTCCTGTCGCCAGTTTCCTGCTACCAACTTGAAAGTAAATGGGCGGATGGAAATGCCCAGGGCTGGGTGGTGGGAACCAGAGTATCCGGTTCCCCTGTTAGGGTCTGCTCCCCCGCCTTGGGGAGGGTGGGCAGGACCCACCGCAGGACCCAGGGGTTCTCAGAGCCCCCGCCAGCCACCCCCACCGCAGCCCCGCCCCGATCTCTCGCTCCCTGGCCGCATCTTGAGCCGCCCCTTCTGTTCTAGGCCAGAGAGGAAAATCGGGGACTTCCAAGTGGTAGCCCCACATTCTGTCTTCGGCTCTGTCTCCGAGCTGTGATCGCAGTGCCCATTCCGGGGAGTAGGAGTGAACCGGGCCGACCTGCCCCGAGCGGGCCAGAAGAAGAGATGCATAGGGCCAGGTCTTGAACAAACCGTTTCTGTTGTTTGGGGACCTGGGGGGCCCCAGCATGCTGGTATGGGAAAAGCGTTATGATTCCTCCACCTGGAAGGCAGTGGGCCGATGATTTAGTCAACCACACCTACATAACAAACCCCCCATAACAACCCTAAACAATGGGGTTCAGAGAGCCTCTGAGTTGGCGGACACATCCGTGAGCCTGGAGGCTGCGCACCCAACTCCGCCAGCACAGACGCTCCTACGCTGGGGCCCTTCTGGACCAACACCCTGTGTGCTCCTTCTTCCGACTGGTCGTCATTATTATAAATGTCAGTACAGCGCCTTCTTGAGTTCTGTGAGCCATTCTAGCGAATTAGCAGACCTGAAGGGGGGTCATGGGAGCCCCCGATTTACAATCAGAGTATGAATGGTCCTGGACTGGAGACTGGTGTCTGGAGTCAGAGAGGGGAAAAAAACTCTCATGTGCCAACTGCCTTTAGAGCCTTTTTTTTTTTTAGGTTTTATTCATTTATTTTTAGAGAGCGGGGAAGGAAAGGAGAAAGAGAGGGAGAGAAAGGTCAATGTGTGGGTGCCACTCACATGCACCCTACTGGGGACCTGGCCCACATCCCAGGCATGTGCCCTGACTGGGGACCAAACCAGCGACCCTTTGGTTCACAGCTCGTGCTCAATCCACTGGGCTACACCAGCCAGGGCCTTTTAACTTGTTTCAAAAGGATTTCATTTACTTATTTAGACAGAGGGGAAGGGAAGAACAAAGAGAGGGAGAGAAACATTGATGTGAGAGAGAAACATCAATCAACTGCCTCTCACACACCCCCTACTGCGGGCTTGGCCGGAGAAACCCAGGCATGTGCCCTGACCGGGAATTGAACCCTCAACCTTTTGGTTCTCAGGCTGGCACTTAATCCACTGAGCCACACCAGCCAGTGCTAGAGCCTTTTAGTAAACATTCTCAAGAGAAAGAATTGGCCAACACGTCCTACAGAGCCAGCCTGCCCTTGCCATAGGCTGTAGCCAGTGAGTGGAGAAGGCTCTGCGGAGCCCACCAGGTGGCGCTCTCACGCTCGGTCTGCTCTGCCCAGTAGTGGGAGCTGGCCAAGAGCCGAGCTCTGGATGGCCCAGCCAATGTCCCTTCAAAGGGGATACAGACAGCGTGTCGTGCAAAGATGGACATCTCTAGAAACTGGATCCCCAGTACACAGTAGGTTCATACACTTGTACTCACCATAGAGACACCTATATATGGATCACACACAACTAAACACACAATAAAGATGCACATAATGTATGTCCACATATATAGACACACACTCACATAGACACACAAACCAGGTTCCCAACGACCTGCACACTCTATCTACAAGTATAAAATATACCCGTATGTATGCAATGTATACACATCACTGTAATGTACACAAGTCCATTTGTATACAATATACACACATATATACAATGTACAGACACCGATATGTACACACACTGTGTATACAACACACACACCTACAGACAATGCAAGTGCCCTGTGCACACACACCATGCCTAGCTACCCACACGTGTAAGCACACACACGAACCTGATGTAACCACACCCACACAGCACACTCTAAAGACAAACCTGCACACACACGTCTGAGTACTCACACTCACATGCACACAAAAAGCAACCCACACTCACACACACCTACACGATGTGTGCACACGCAGCTGCCCCGCCAGGAGCAAGCAGCACCCCCGGGGCCTCACACCCCCGGCTAACGCTCCTGCTCTCCCTCCCCCGCAGCCATGCTCAGCATCCAGGGACCTTTCTTCTTCCTCTTTGTCTTCACGGCTTCCTTCATATTTCACATTCAGCGGCGGATAGTGAAGATTCAACCCATACCGGAGGCACAGATGCTGGAACAAGTGACGAATGCGAACAGCACGAGCCACGTGCCCAGGGGCATGTGGACGGTCAACGCGATAGGCCGCCTTGGGAACCAGATGGGTGAGTACGCCACCCTGTACGCCCTGGCCAAGATGAACGGCCGGCCGGCCTTCATCCCCGCGCAGATGCACAACACGCTCGCGCCCATCTTCAGAATCACCCTCCCGGTCCTGCACGACACCACGGCCAGCAGGGTCCCCTGGCGGAACTACCACCTGAACGACTGGATGGAGGAGCGGCACCGCCACATCCCCTGGGAGTACGTGCGCCTCACCGGCTACCCCTGCTCCTGGACCTTCTACCACCACCTGCGCGCCGAGATCCTCCGGGAATTCACCCTGCACGACCACGTGCGCGAGGAGGCCCAGAGTTACCTGCGGGGCCTGCAGGTGAATGGGAGCCGGCCGAGCACCTTCGTGGGGGTCCACGTGCGCCGGGGGGACTACGTCCACGTCATGCCGCAGGTGTGGAAGGGCGTGGTGGCCGACCGGCGGTACCTAGAGCAGGCGCTGGACTGGTTCCGGGCCCGCTACCGCGCCCCCATCTTTGTGGTCACCAGCAACGGCATGGCCTGGTGCCGGCAGAACATCGATGCCTCCCGGGGCGACGTGGTGTTTGCTGGCGACGGCGCCGAGGGCTCTCCCGGGAAGGACTTTGCGCTGCTCACGCAGTGCAACCACACCATCATGACCATCGGGACCTTCGGGATCTGGGCCGCCTATCTCGTGGGTGGAGTAACCATCTACCTCGCCAACTACACCCTCCCGGACTCTCCCTTCCTCAAAGTCTTTAAGCCAGAGGCAGCCTTCTTGCCGGAGTGGATCGGGATTGCCGCAGACCTGTCCCCACTTCTCAAGCAGTGAGAGCGGCCTGTCCTTGGCACCACCTTCTCTTTTTCTGCCTCCTCCAGATCCATTCTGAGGCATAAACAGCACACTGTTACCTACACGAGGGCCCTTCCCTCTTGCATCAGAATACTCCTGGCTGCGAGTAACAGAAGTCCCAAGGAACTTGTTTAATTAACATGGCTCGGCAAACTGAGCACTGGTCTTCAAACCACAAGGTCGCTGGTTCGATTCCCAGTCAGGGCACATGCCTGGGTTGTGCACCATGGCTCCAGCAGGGGGTGTGGGAGAGGGAAGGGTTCCCTTCCCCTCTCTCTACAAGTAAATAAATAAAATCTTTTTTTAAAAAAGCCATGAATCTGTTGATGAAACTACATCATCTGTCATGTACAAGTGCCCCCATTTTGAATTTGGCTGGTTGAGCCCCCTTGTGCCTTTCCATGTGTTCCCGTGGTTCCTCTCTATTTCCAGCTAACCGGGGTGAGAGCTAAAGAGTGTCTGCGTAAATCTGGACGACGAGGAAAAGAAAGCTTTGCTGGAAAAAAAAAATATATTGAAAATACACCCTGAAGAAGGAACCTGACAGGTTTACAGAGCCAGCGAGCAGAGACGGCGGGGGCAGCGCGGTGATCCTGGAAGTGAGGCCAGGAGATCAGTGAGATGATGCAACTTCAAGATTTCCCACAAAGCTAAAATTATGCAACCACATGGTGCTGGCATAAAAGACAGACAAGTGGAACTCAAAACAAAGTCCAGAAGTGGGCCACCCATATGTGACCACCTGATTTATGACAAAGACATCAACGCAGTTCAGTGGGGAGAATGAAAGAACTTTTCTTAAAAAAAAAAAAGATATTATTTCTTTTTAGAGAGGGGAAGGGAGAGGGAAATCAATGTGTGGTTGCCTCTTGAGCACCCCCTACTGGGGTCCTGGCCTACAATCCAGCCATGCACCCTGACTGGGAATCGAACTGGTGATCCTTTGGTTTGCAGGCCAGCACTCAATCCACTGAGCCACACCAGCCAGGGCAAAAGAGCTTTTGGATGAATGGAAGCAATCCATTACTCCTATGGAAAAAGGAACTCTTGACCTCTACCTCACACCATACACAACCACTAATTCACCATGAGTCACAGACCAAACTGTGCAAGCTGAGAGCATAAAACTTCTAGAATAAAATATAGGGGAATAATGATTTTTTTAATATCATTTTGGTTTTGCCCAACCTTGGGGTTGGGCAAAGGTTTCTTAAGTGGGATAATAAAAAAGTCACCATAAAACATTTGATATATTGGACCTCATTAGAAGTAAGGGCTTGTATTCATTAAAAGACACTTCAGGTTTACAATATCTACATTTCTGAAGGCTGGTGTCCGGAACATACAAAGAATGCCTGTAAGCCAGTAAGAAAAAGGCAAGCCTTTCATGAGAAAACCTGGAAAAAACACAAAACAGACACTTCACAATGATACCCAATGAGCACAGAGAACGTGCTGATTTTTGAGTTTCTCGTCAGTCACTGTCCCAAGGTGTCCCCTGGCTGCTCGGTGGCCTCTGGCCGCACTGCTTCTTTTTCCAGCTCACTGTCTACACCCCACACAGCCTGGGACAGGGCTTGTTTTTGAGGTCACTTAGGGTTCTGGAGGCTGATGGCAGGTGGTAGGCCATTAGGGTAGGAGCTGATTTCTCCTGTGACCCTTCCTCACCGCTGTGTCTCCTCCCATTGCCTAGGGAATTACGCTGACCCGGCAGATCTGCCCATTAGCCACCTCCGCCGCCATCACTCTGCTGTCATAGCCCTTCAGAGTGGCAGCTGCCCCGCTGCCTTCTCCTCTTCCTCCTTCTTCTTTGAGAACCTATTATTAAGCATTTACCAGCACACCTGTTGGCATTTCAAAAATATTCTTTAAAAGACATTGGGGTCGGCTCTCCTGACAGCAGCCCGAGAATTTATTAAAACCCAAATCATAGCTCATCACCCCAGACCCCCCGTATAGGCCACCAGCGTGTCCTCATTTATTTGAAGCCCCGAAGTGGGGAACTGGAACTCCAGTGCTTAGGTGCCCACGTACGGGGCCGGCAGAAGTCAGGCCACCAAGTGTGGTTGGTGGGGTACGTGAGTGTCTCGCACAAGATGGACAGCAATGCAAACATTTCACCTAAAGTGTTCCATGGGGCGCTTGAGGGTGATATTGTTATGTTACAGATCGACATGCTTATGACTGTGCAATACAAGACTTCTGTGTCATTAAACATAGGTGGTATTTGCACCAGACCCTGTATCAGCAGTGAAGCAGTAAGAAAAAGCAGAGGCATGACCAGGACAGAACTCAGGACACTGGTGACGTCTGGGAGGCAGGAAAGGGTGATGAGGGACAAATGCAGGGGACCTCAAGAACTGCACTTCCAGGGAGGGGGATGGGTGGAGCTGGAAGAGGGCATAATGGGGAAAAATATAGTAAAAGTAAACAAATAAGTAATTTTTTACATGTTATTTTTTAAATTTTTATTATTTTTAAAAGATTTTATTTCTTTATTTTTAGAGAGGGAAGGGGTGGGGGAGAGAGAGCAAGAGAGAGAAACATCAATGTGCGGTTGCTGGGGGTCATAGCCTGCAACCCAGGCATGTGCCCTGACTGGGAATCAAACCTGCAATGCTTTGGTTCACAGCCCACACTCAATCCACTGAGCTACGCCAGCCAGGGCTAGTAATTTTTAAAAAGAGCTATAGTTTCATGCATCTTCACTTTTGAACTATTTGTTAAATATCCATGCATGCCTCATGCATTTTTCTCTATGTTTTCTTTCACAGTTATTTTATTTTATTATATTTTAAAGTTTACTTTTAGAGAGGGGAAGGAAGGAAGAGAAGCATCAATGTGTGGTTACCTCTGGTGCACCTCCCACCTGGGACCTGGGCTGCAACCCAGGCATGTGCCCTGACTGGGAATTGAACCAGCAACCCTTTAGTTCACAGGCCAGCACTCAATCCACTGAGCCACACCAGCCAGGGCTATTTCACAGTTTTGAATGGAAAGTAAAAGGTTGCTCTGGAGCTGCAGTGTGGGAGGCTGGGGAAGGAGGCTTCCATGTAGGCCCAGGGCAGCGCAGTTCCATAGAGCTTCACGTAGTAGTGGGAATGTCCCCCACCCGCGCTGTCCACTATGGTAGCCACAGGCCACCTCTGTCCACTGAGCACGTGCAATGTGACCAGGGTGACTGTGGAACGAATTGTGAAGTTGCATGTAACTTGCTTTACTCTAAATTTAAATAGGCCCACGTGGCTAATGGCTGGCGTCTTGGGCGGCACGGGGCTAGATGTTTTGAAGAAAAATCAGCCCTGCCCTGTGTGGCTTAGTTGGTTGGAGTGTCACCCAGTAAACCGAAAGGTTGCCAGGTCGATTCCCAGTCAGGGCACATGTGCTAGGTTGTGGGCTTGGTCCCCAGTTGGGGTGTAGGCAAGAGGCAACTAATGGATGTATCTGTCTCACACTGATGTTTCTCTGTCACATCAATGGATGTTTCTCCCTTCTCTCTCCCTTCCTTCCCTTCTCCTTAAAATCAATAAGCATGTCCTCAGGTGACGATAAAACAAGAAACACTGGAGCCCCCTCTCTCAGCTGCACACCCTTAACAAAGCAGCCCTCTCCCAGCAAACTTCCTCAATGGGACCCCCACCGGAACAGCCCCCCTCAAATCCCCTCTCCCATAAAGAACCCCCACCAGAATTCCTCTGCTGGCAACCCCTCTCCTAACAGAACCCCCCACTGAAAAGCCCTGTCCCATCAGGACCCTCCTCTTCCACTGGAAGCCCCCAGATCCTCTCCCTAATGCCGCCTGCCCCTGGGTGAAACATCTAGAAAAGAATCGCACAGAGAAGGGTGTGTGGAGGGGGAGTTGCCAGCTGACCTCAGGAAAAGGAGGCAGATTTGTCCCGACCTCCTAGCGAGCCTGGGCTGATCCCCAGCTCTTCCTGCCCGCTCAGCGCCAGAGCCACCTGGTGGAGAGGCTGGTATAGAATTTTATTAAGGGGACAGCAAATGCAGCAACAGTCTCACCTGCTTCTAGTCTGAATCTTGTGTCCTCTGTCACCTCAATGTCAACCCCACTCTCCAGATCTTCTTCTTAAAGATTTTATTTGTTTGTTTGTTTGTTTGAGGGAGAGAGAGAGAGGAAGGGAGGGAGAAAAAAATCAACGTACAAGAGAAATATCCATCAGCTGCCTCTCACGTGCCCCTGAACAGGGCCCTGGCCCTCAACCCAGGCATGTGCCCTCACCGGGAATCGAACCTGTGACCTGCCAGTTCACAGGCCAGCGTTCAGTCCACTGAGCCACACCGACCAGAAACCCATTCTCCAGATTTTTAAACACTAACTGCAGACAGTGTAAATACACTCATCTGGCCCACGTGCTGCAGATATCGACGATCTTTAATTACACCGTGTACAGTATAAGCCAGCAGGGGCCTGAGCCAGCAGAGGGCAGCCACAGCCCATGTAGGACTGGGGCCTGGCCTGTGGGCTTAGAGTGGATTGGATTGTGTCACCTCAAAAGGGATGTTGAAATCCTAACCCCCAGCATCTGTGAACATGACCTTATTTGAAAATAGCCCTTGAAGACCTAATCAAGTTCAGCTACAGTCTCTAGGGCCCTAAGCCATAGACTGTGGCCTAATAGAAAAGGGAGATTTGGGCACAGAGACAGAGATGCACAAGGAGAACACCAAGTGAAAACAAAGGCAGCCTGGATGGTGTGGCTCAGCGTATTGAGTGCTGGCCTGCGAACCAATGGGTCACCGGTTCGATTCCCAGTAAGGGCATATGCCTGAGTTGCAGGCCAGGTCCCCAGTAGGGGCCTCATGAGAGGCAACCACACACAGATGTTTCTCTCTCTCCCTCCCCATTCTCTAAAAATAAATAAAATTGTTTTCAAACAATCCAGAGATTGGAGTGATGCATCTACCTGCCAAGAAATCTCAGTGATCACCTCCAAACCCCCAGAAGTTGGGAGAAAAGCAGGGAATGGATTCTCCCTCAGGACTCCGAAAAGAACCAAGCCTGCAAACTTGAACTTGACCTTGAACTTCTAGCCTCCAGAACTGTGAGACAATGTCTGTGGCCTAAACCACCCAGCTTGGGGGAGGGCAGCCCTAGAAAGCTACTGCAGTGCCTGAGGAAGCAGGGAGGGTGGAGAACTTCAGTGGGATGCTGGCTATCGCCCTGTCTGTCCCTTTTCATCCAATTAAATGATGTTCATGGTCATGGGCTGTTTCTTCCATGAACTGGCATTCCCAAGGGTTTTCTATCCATGGCCTGTGGTTCTCCCAGGATGATTTCACGGTTTCACATACTGTAGATAAGTGGCTTTCACATTTTTTATTTTGGGGCCAGAAACTTCCCTTTTGACCAGGAAGAAGAAGAAGGAGTAGTAGTTAAACAATAGAATAACTTCAGAAATTCCACAAGTAGAGAGTGCTGAGCCAGGCAAGCTCTCCCAGATGTTAAAAAATAACGTTAAGCCTCAATAAATAAAACAGTGTGATCCCAGTACATGGAAAACAGATGAAAAGAAATTGCCTAGAAAAGTCAGAAATGAACAGAAACCCATTTGAGAATTTAATGTATTTTGAGGGTGGCATTACAAGTTTGAGAGGAAAGGATGGATTCTTAACAAACAATACTGAGCCATTTAGGGGAGAAAAGCATGCTTGTGGGAAAAGAAAAAAAAACCTTAAGCTGTAAAAACTTAAAAATTAATAAATGTAAAAGGCTCAAATATCATTTTTGGGGGGGGTGTGTGTGTGGTTTAAAATATGGAATCCTGCAAACATTGGCAACTTACTCTCTTTTTTTAAGCTGCCACGTCGGAAACATCTCTCCAGTCCCTTCGGTAGTTGCAAATGGTTCCATCGAGCTGATCGATGGCGGCACACGCATTCTCCAAGGGAAGGGTTGTAGGTTGTTTGCTGGGCTTTGTTGCTATAAATAATGCCGACAAGCACGTCCTTGTCGCCAGGCCCTCTCGGCTGTAGTGTGACAGATCTTTCTGCATGCGAGCTAATACTGCGTTTTTAGGATATATTATTAGAAGTGAATTTGCTGAGTCAGGGAGTACACGTTTCAATGCAGCACAGCTAGGCGACTCGTGACACTATTGCGTCCTGTCCAACCGCGTGTAATGTCCATTCTCCCGCGGTCTCGTGATCACAGGATGGCCAGCGTGGTGCAGGGGGTCGCCTGTGGCTGCTAAGGACTTCCCAGCAGACTCCCCAGCCGACTTCCTGCTCCCTTCGCCCCAACATTGGGCCAACTCTCCGTTTTCCCCGCACCCCCTGGGGGAGGCCCAGCCTTCTTCTCAGGGGCAGGAAGGAGGGGCTGAAAGGTCTGCAGAAGCGGGTGGGCCACAGGCCTCAGGGGAGAGTGCAGGATCCAAGCCCTTCCCTCAGGTTCTGGGATCCAACTCACGCACCTCCTCCCACGCCTGCCCCTTCTTTGGAACCTCCACCTTCTGGAGAATTCCTCAGCCTCCACCCCTGACTTGCGGGCTGTTCCCAGGCCTCACAGGCTTGCAGCCCAAGGCTGCCCTCCTCTGGACACAGGATAGGTGGAGGCAGTGACATGGACGGCGTGTCGGCAGAGATGTGAACAGATTAATATGGAGATAGTTACCAGCATAGAAGTATGTTTCTGGAAACAGAGAGGACGCCCACCACGGCCCTTCTTGATGTTCTGACAGCTGCACCCCTTTCCCACCAGCTGTCAGCCTGACCTGAAGGGTCCTGCAAGGCCCAGCAGCCACCCACCTTGTGCTCCAGGAACCTGACCTCACAAGGTTCCCCACGTGACTTGGCCCCTCACAGCCTCAGGCCTTTGCACGTTGGTCTGCCTCCACAAGGATGCGGGCTTCCAGGTGGTTCCTCTGTGCACCTCCTCCTGATCCTTGAAATGTCAGCAAAATCCTTCCCCTGGTCACTCTGGGCCTCTCCAACGGCTTCTGGTCTTTCCTGGGAGTCACGGCCCTGCAATCTCATGCGCCACTGCTGTGAAAATACTTATTGCCTTGTGCTGGGGCTCTCTCTCTCTGCAAATGTCTGAGCTGCACCAGAGCAGAGACGGAGGGTCTTCGTCTTTTCAACTCTGAGGACACATGCCGTGGACTCATTAACCTGATGGAAAACCCCGCTCTGTGTGGCCCTGGGCATATCAGCCCCCTTCTTTGATTTTCAATGGTGTCAGCTGGAAAGTGAGGATGGAATCCTACCTGATGCATTCTGAAGACACCAGAGGTCGCCTTTGCCTTGTTTTCAGGGGGGATCTCTAATGTCCACTAGCTTTCTGCATAATGAGGCACCACTGGCATAGCCTTGGCCAGTGTGATTCAGTTGGTTGGAGTGTCGTCCCATAACCGAAGTGTCACAGGTTCGATTCCCAGTCAGGGCACATGCCTGGGTTGGGGGTTTGGTCCCTGGTCGGAGTGTGTTCAAGAGGATACCGATCAATGTTTCTCTCTCACATTTATGTTTTTCTCCCTCTCCTTCTCTTCCCCCGTCTCTAAAACCCATAAGACTGTCCTCAGGGGAGGATAAAAAAAATAAAAGAATATTTATCCGCACATCTCACATGCCAGGGCCAGTTTGTAGACTATCTCAGTGAGCTCTCTCAGCCACACTGGCTGCCAGCACAGATGAGGACACTGCCAGCAAGACAAGGGGACATCACTGGCTCTGGGTCCTGGCCCATGGACTGATCTGTTGTCCCTTTCCACCTGTAGTGGACACTTCTCAGTTCTGCTCACCCAGCACCCCGCTGCTGAGAGCTTTGTGCAATAACTGTGCCTTTTTTTTTCTTCTGTATGGGTGGTGCTTTGACATCTGGGGCCTGGCTGACAGGGCCAGCCAATTCCTGGAGGTAATCATGAGCGCACCCATGCCCAGGCCTTTCCCACGCGGACCCAGCAGCCCACAGCCCAGGCTCCCTGCCACTTCCCTTTTCAAGACATTACACTCCAGGATGTGACCCTTCAGCCTGATCTCCCCAGGGCCAGGTTCCAGGTACCTCAGGACCCCACGAGGCTGCTGAAATTATTCAAACCAGCTAACCTTAAGCCTCCTTATCCCGCCCCATGTGCTCCTTCTTGAAGAAGCCACAGCAACTGCTCTCACCACGGTTCCCCTCTCTGCCTCTGCCTCCTGGCTGACCCTGGCGCTTCCCTGTGTGGCCCTGCATGGCTTGTGATGCTCTGTTCTGTTGGGATCTGTGAGAATAACAAACTGTCTTTTTAATTTATTTTTGGGAGGAGGGGTGGTGAGAGGGAAGGGAGGGAGAAAGAGAGGGAGAGAAACAGCGATGTGAGAGAGAAACATCCATTGGCTTCCTCTCTAGGCACCCCCAACTGGGACTGAAAACAAACCCAGAAACCTGGGCATGTGCCCTGGCCAGGAATTGCACCGGAGACCTTTCACTTTGCAGAACGATGCCCAACCGACTGGGCCAAACCCGTCAGGGCTAACAGACTGTCTTTTCAATGGCGATCATCTGACCTATTGGCCTCACTCGAAATAATAACATCTGCACTTTAAAACACTTTGCTGCTAACAAATTACCCTGTGGCCCTCTTCTCAGGATGCCTCTTGGGGTCTAAGTGCTTGGGACTTTGTGTCCCAGCCCCCTCTCAGGACACGGAGCCCATGACTAAACAGAGAGGTGTAGTAGCAAGTCTCCAAATATGGCCCCCAGTGACCATGCCATCCCCCCATTAACACCTTGGAGTAGTCGCCTCCCATATTCAGCCTGGATGGCCTGACTTGCAATAACCAATACAAACGGTGGAAGGAACATTGGGTCTGTTCCAAGCTCAGTCTTTAAGAGACTGGCAGTTTCCACTTCCTCTCCGAGGGAGGGTCACTTTGGCAAAGACCTGAGCTACCTCCTAAGGAGTCCATGTCTCTGTGGGAGAGACCACATGCAGAGGGAGGGCACTGAGACCGCACGGAGAATGAGAGAAGTCCAGCTTCTTCCAGCCCTGATGAGTCCAGCCTAGGAGCCACCCCTGCCAAGGCTCCAGACACGTATGAGAGTGCCACGTTGGATCTCACAGCCCTAGCCGACAGCATATGGTGCTGAAGAACCGCCTGGCTGAGCCCAGTCAACCCACAGAATTGTGAACAACTGTAGACAGTGATAATTTTACGACACTACATTTTGAGGTGGTTTGTGATTCAGCTTTAAAAACCTAAACGGGGATCTCCCTTTGCCCTAAAGGCCCAGTTCCATTTATTGCAAGGTGGGAAAGACTCCACAACTTCATATATCCTCAGGGACCAGGCTGAGGTCGGAACTTCACCTGACAGCACATACCTGGTGCTCTTCTTCCCTCTCGCTGTCCCATTTCACCCACTCCCTTTGGCTTCCTCCTGGGAGCATTTCTTTAATAAATCTTGGACACGTGGATCTTGTCTCAGGCTCTGCTTCCAAGAGAATCTAACCTCGTACGTAACGGTTCTGATTTTCTCACTTCCAACCGAAAGCCGAGGGAAGCCTAGTTCTCTGTTCTCCCTCCCCACTCCTTCCTGCCCCTCTCCTGCATCCAAAAAAAGCATACACCACCTTCCCGATGCCCCAGCGACAGGTAGCCGTGTAGTGAGTAGGATGAGAAGAAGAAGACATCCAAGAGGTCTCGGAAGGAAGCAGCGAGCAGATTGTTCGCCCTGGACCGCAGCAAATGAGACCTCCCTTCCCCCACCACACGATCGTGGAGGTCAGGGCAGGCGAAAGTCAGGTGGTTGGCATGTGGGCAGCATTTAGGGGCCAGGTGGAGATGAGGGTCGTTTCTGATTCTGGGTTTGTGGTGGGAGGGGATTCTGCTAGTTGTGCCGACTCCTCCCTCAAGGAGTCTGTCTTGGTGACCTCCCCATCCCTACCAGTTCTCAGTCCCTCAGAAACCCAGAATCTTTCACCAGGGACCCTCCAGCAGGTCCCACAGCCGGGTGCCACTGGAATCAGATAGATCAGTGGAGAAGATGCTGGGGGCTGGGGGACCACAGCCCAGTGGAGGACCCCCACTCAGAGCTTCCAGCCAGTCCAAGGAGTCCATGGGGCCCCTGGGAGACGGGGATGGGGAGTTTGTGGGGGACGGGAGCGAGGAAGAGAAGACAGATGAGAGGCCTTCGGAGTCTGGGGAGGGGGACAGCACATCGAAAGAGCCTGGGAAGTCCAGGGGGATAGGGGGCAGCAGGTCTGCGGGGGAAGAAATGGAGTGTGAACTTAGGGAGGCAGGGATCCAGACCCCAGACCCCTAGGGGCTTCCCGTTTCCAGGAGTCCAGAACCTCAGCCCCCTTTGCTCCTAAATCTAGAAGTTCGTCTCTTACCACCAGATTCCACCTGATCCTCCAGGATGTCCTCGATGCCCCGGTTCGGTAGCAACTGCGGACGGGCAGAAGCGGAGTGAAACTGGGACTCCGGCCCGAATCCTGACCGGGGACCACTGGCCCAGTCCCTCTCACCTGCGCCCTCCGGATCGCTTCCTGCAGCTCCTCCTCCAGAGTCAGGGCTGCTGAGGCTGGTGCTGAGGAAGGGGTCAGAGCTGGAGCCGGAGTTGGAGACGGAGACTGAGACGGAGCCGGAGCGGTCACGAAGTTTCCCGCGGCACGAGGAACAGCGGGCAGGGGAGATGCTGGGCTTGGCTTGGACTAGAACCCAGAAGACCGTGTTTCTATAAGCCACGCCCACTCGGTGCTACTCCACTCCCTTTAACCTGTGGCTCCACCCACTGGTCCCTGCCCGGTCCTTCGCTCCACAATCCCCCCTCCGCCACACCCCTTATTCTCTCATTGGCTTCTCCTTCCCCCCTTAGCCACGGTCCCCACGCTTCATTGGCTATTCTTTTCTCAAATTCCCGCCTCGTCCTGCTTTGTCTTCTCCTTATTGGTCCGCACGCCCCGCCCTTACCGAACCCTGCCGTCGGGCGGCTACGAGGGCTTTAGGCCTGAGGCGTGGCCAGGGAGCACCCGCGGGACAGTCCTCGCGCCGTGGCTTCGGCCGCTCGCGGGACGGGGCCCCTCCGCGCATGCGCTCCAGGAGCATCGACTTGGTCCCGGACACCGGGAGGCCCCGCAGGCGCAGCTGCTGCCGGAGCTCTGAGACCTGGAGCGGGGGGCGGGGAGAGGCCGTGCTGGGCGGGCTCCAGAGCGCAGGAGATATGCAGGGGCTGGACAGTTGGAAACCGAGAGAGGAGGGACTGGGGACCCCAGGTCCTGAATCTCTGATGGGGCTGAGGCTGCAGGGTTAAACTTCTGCGTCCCCACCGAGGCTGAGGGCCAGTCTGGGAAGCTGCTCTCCACACTCACCGTCAGCTCCTCCAGTTTAAGGGTCTGAAGTTCCAACTTGTGTGAAGGAGACGAGGGGTTGGAGACTCCTGGGAGGGAGGGAGGGAGGGGAGTGGGCTTCATCCTAGCGATAGTGGTGGGGGAGGGGAAACAGAGGTTAGAGGGGGCACACAGAGAAAAGGCGTTCTTGGATCCTTAAATATGGGGACTCATGAAGATGCAGGAAAATAGGGGCCTAGAATTCTGGGTCCCTGAGGGAGCAAACCCAGGAGGCTAGCTCCTGTGCATGGGAGAGGAGAGGCTGGGGGCTCAGACTCAGGCCTGAAGCTGGGACTTCTAGAAACTGAAGGAAGAGGGGCTGGGGACCTGGACTCTTGTGTCCTGGGGGAGAAGGGGACTAAGGGCGGATTCCCCTGACCTTAGACTTGGTTTGAAGGAGGAGGATGCTGAGGGCTTGAACTTCCTGGAGGATAGGAACAGAGGTCATACCTAGAAGGTGGCTGCTGTGATTTCATCTCTTCACACAGAGGTGGCCCAGGGGGACCCTCAGCCGATCCTTTGGCCTGAGGGTCTGCCCTAGACCCTTGTCTTGGCTCTGGGGGAATGTACTGGTGGTATGTCAAGTTCCCCTTTGGCTTGGCCTCCCTCCAATGTTGGGAGATCTTGGGCGACTCCTGAAAAAGCAGGTGTGATGCCACATGCTTCAGCTCCCTTCCTACTTCGCTGTCCCAGAGCCCCACGAGAAGAATGGGGTCAGCTTGGCACCACCAGAGAGGAGCAAAAAAGCCAGCAGCAAGGAGGACCAAAGCTAGACTCAGAGGGACCCTCAGTCCAGTGGAGACTGACCTTCTTCAGCGACTTCCAAGGGCAGCGTTGTGACTCAGGGTGCAGAACGCCCAGACTGGAGCAGAGAGGGGCAGGACCTGAGGGTGAGGCTGCGGTGGGGGCCAGAGCTGGGGCTGAGGCTGAGATCCAGGGATCTGAATCTGAGACTGGAGAGGCGGTGAAGGATCCCGAGAGGCCTGCAGGCAGTGAGGAGGCAGGGAGGAGCAAGGCTGTGTGGGGAGGAGGGTCCTAGAGGACTCAGACTCCCCCCCTCTGGTGTGGGGACAACACGACCAGGGAGCAACACCCAAGTGGTGGGAGCTGGGTGCCTGGATGCCTGGATCTGCAAGCAGAGGGGCTGGAAACCCAGAGTTTTATATTCTCAAGAAAGGCAAAATCATGTCCTCAGTCACCAAGGGGTGTGGTGGCTGAAGATCACAGATTTCTGGGGTTTTGCTAGAACGGGTGGCGCAGCACTCCTGGTCTTGGGGAGAGAGAGATAGAAGAAAGCCACGTCCTGAAATTCCCATGTGTGCTGAATGTGGAGTCTGGGACATTTCCTTCTGGATTCCCTCATTTCGCTGGAGTGGGGATAACGGAAGAGCACCCAGGGGTGGGGTGGCAGGGGACCAGTATTCCTGGGACCTCCAGAGAGGACAGGATGGGATGATTTTCGGTGATGCCTGGGGCTGAGGGACCGAGGCTCAGAAACCAGCAAGGGAAGCTGGCAGCTGCACTCCAGCAGGCCCCAGCGAGTCAGGGCCACCATCCCCTCCCTTTCAGGGCCCACACTTACTCGGGTCCTGATACCGTCTGTGGATCCGAAGCTGGAGGACTGTGGAGGGAAGAAGGGAGTGGGAGGAGAAAGGCGGGAAGGGAGTGTCCAGGAGCCTGGCCTGGCAGGCGGCTCCAGCTGCAGTTGTTGGCGGGACACGCGTGCCCAGCCCCCTCACACACACCCCATGCAGGCTTCCCTTTCCAGGGCCTCCCGCCTGCTCCCTGCCAGCAGAGCGCCAAGGGCCAGAGCCATTCTGGGGCTAGGTGCCAGCCGGCACGGATGCAGGAGGCAGCCCTGCCCCCAACTCCACCTGCCCCCTTCAGGAGTGTGTGCCCACCCCACCCTTGGCACAAGCACCATCTTGGCAGCCCGACCCATTTGTTCCTCGCCTGCTTTTATCCCTGCACTCCGCTTTGCACACGCTGGCTGTCTTCTGTGCCACTTCCCCAAAGTCACCCTCTCTGCACACCCACCTTCAAACAGGCATCTCCCTGGGCTTTAGTTTTGCACACACACCACTTTTGTGCACTTGTAGGTACCCTTTGACACTCTTCGCTCTTCACTTTCTTGCCACTCCCCAAGCCACATCAACACACTTATTTGCACATTCAGGGTGTGGTCCCTTTGCACATTTCTGCTCTTTATACCGTTGCACTCTTTTGCACACTCCTTGCTTTTTGTTACTGTGTCTTTGTGCTCACCCAGTCACAGGAGCACCCTCATTTGCACACTCAAGTGTACTTTTTCTACTCAGGAAATGACCTCCAGTTCCACTCACTTGCACACTTCTTACCTGCACTGGGACCTAAAATACAACTTTGACAGTTTCAAAGCTTGATAGCTCACAGTCCCCTAACCCACATTCTCACACTGGTTACTCCCAAATCACTCTGTGCACTTCACTTTGCACACATGTCAGTGTAAGCCCCTGTTCCTTTGCATTACCTGACCCACTGAACCCCCACCCCTACCTGTCCACTCCCCACTGTTTGCATGAGCATTGTACCAGCCATCTGCACACACACTGATTCAGCACAGCTTAACCCCCTTGCTGGGGCCTCCTTTATGCACAAGTGTTCTTTTGCACAGAAAACACATGCCTCATGGGCCCCATCACCCCCTTCCAACCTCACCACACCCTGCACACTCCCAGAGTTAAAGTATTCCCTGGACCCAGAGAACCCCTTTCCTACAAGCACAGAGAGAAGTCTCTCACCAGATCGGAACTTGGAGCGAATGATTTGGGAGCGCTGGGAGGAAGCCGCCAGGGTCATTGCCAAGCCTGGGATGGGGACCTGGACTAGAAGGAGGGCAGGACCCCCACAAGAGGCAGGGGCAGAATGGAAGTCAGGAGGCTGCCCCTGCATGTGGAAGCAGCTGGGAAAGAGCCTGAAGGACTCGGGGACAGGAGAGGCCTTGGGCCATAACTTCTGGATCCCTGGGGAAGGAAGAGGCTGGGGAACCAGACTCTGGAGCCTGTGGGGAGAAAGGACCTGGGACCTGGGACTCCTGGGTACTAAAAGGGAGGACACTGGGGCCCTGGTCCCCTGGGCCTATGAAAGGGGAGGAAGGAGAAAGGGGTGAAGGGCCAGAACTTAATACTCTGAGAGGACGAGAATCCAACATCCTTGGTCAAAAGGAGGAAAGGACCTGATAGGTCCCTAGGGCACGGGAAAGTCTCTTCTATCTGCATTTGTCAGCCACCATGGTCTGTGGGGAAGGGACTGGGTCCAGAGAGGGGACAGAAGAGTTAAGATGAGTCTCCCATCCACACACCCCCATACCCAGGGGCTTCTCACCAGGTGGCCTTGCTGTGGCTGTGCTCTGGGGCAGGTTGTCCCACCGTCTTAGGCTGAGGCCGCGGGTTCCACCCTACTAGCCTGGGACCCCCCCTTCTTGGGGCGTGCCCAGAGCCCATGAAGAGGGGAGGGGAGACAGAAGTCCCGCCTGGAACCCTGAGAAAGGGCGGGAGCACCGGCTGAGAGGGACTGGGGCGGGGCAGACAGCGGGGTTCCCTGGCTCGCTCCTCCTCCGCGTCCTGGCGCTGCGGGGTCGGGCGGGGCGGCGGCAGGCGGACTGACAGAAGCAGGTGCGGAGAGTGGCGCCGGGCGAGCAGCAGAGGCAGGTGGTCGCGTCCCGACCCCGCAGGCAGGTGCCACCTGTCGCTTACTTTTTCCCTGACGCAGCAACAGGAGTCGGATTCAGGGGAGTGAAAAGTTCAGACTGGAGCCCTGGACTCCAGGGTCTGAGGGAGGGGGGAGACAGGGACCTGCATAACTGCGTTTGAAGGAAAGGGGGCGGGGCCTGGGCTCTTGGGTCTGAGGGAGCAGTGGGCTGGGACCCCAGCTTCCAGATGCTGGGAATAGGGACAAAGAGGTGTTGAGACTCCGCAGTGCGCCCGACAGACAGGAAGGCCCAGAGGGAGCCCAGGCTCCTGGGTCTGAGGGAGGAGGGGGCTAGAGTGGACTTGGAGATCAAAACGAGATGATGGCTGGTTCCCACTGGCAGCGCTGAGGGCCTGACATATGGCAGAGCAAGCTTACAGCTCTGTCCTAAGATTCGTGGGAGGCCCCAGGGCTCCTGGGTTGGATTACGTGCAAGAGGGCAAGCTGAGGCCGTGGTTATAAATACCCCCTCGTAGTCGGCAAGAGCCCAACGCTCCAGGCAGTGTGGGCCCCGGCGCCAGTGTCCGCAGGAAATCATCATCACTAACGCTCCCCGGTCTTAACAAGTGAGGCGTTGCCAATACCACAGATACCTTTATTTCTCCTGGCACTCAAAGCCCAAGCCCATCTACCCACCGTCCCATCCTCTACGACCCCAAAACTCGAACTCCCAGCATTCCAAGCGGGAAAGAACTACAACTCCCAGAAAGTTCTGCGCTCAGTTGGGCTCCATTGAGTAGAAGCCGAGCAATTTTCAAGGCTCGCGCATTCGTTTCTATTGGTTTTCAAGGAGGCGTGGCTACAGGAGGCCCGTGGCGGTGATTGGCCGGAAGTTCCTGCTGCTCAAGATCCCAGAGGAGGCGCCGGAGTCTGCGCAGTTCACGGTGCAGGGCGTCGTCCGTTACCGGCCCTGTGAGGCGCAGACGCGAGCTACCCAAGGGCAGGATGAGGGGAGGGTGGGAGGAGAAGCTTTCGAAGATGTCCCCTGTGAGAGCGCAAACACGGAGTTAAAATCTGAAAATGGGCGTTAGGCAGCAATATTAAAAAGGGGCTGTGTCACATCCGAAGGAAGAAAACTTCAATCCCCAGCAACTCCTGGAGCGGGGGTCCACTCAAACGCGACCCTTGGAGTCTCCAAGCATCATGGGAGTTGTAGTTCAGACTATGAAAGGATACAGTTGCCTGGGAAACGGGTGATATTGTTGGGTTCTTGGGTCCATGAGGAAGGAAGGGCTAGAAATCTAGTTTTACGGATTCCTTCGAATGGAGGTTCTGGACCCGGGAGTCCTAGATGACAGGGAGGGTAGTTTGTGGGAGAAAGAAGCTGGGGAATCTGAACCCCTAGGAAAACAAGGGGGCTGGGGGCTTGAACTCCTGTATCCTGGAGAGAAGGGAATTGAGGTCCAGCACTTGGTGACTCAGGGAGGAGAGGGCTAGGGGTCCAGAATCCTGAGGCAAAAGGAGGAAGGGGCTAGGGCTATGGATTCTTAGGTCCTGAGGACAGAAGAAAGCTGATAGTCACAATGCCGGTCCCCATCTCTCCTCACCTGTGTCCACAGAATCTCGTTCTGTAGGGGGAGGGTCCCAAGAGGGTGGAGGCCCGTGGCCAGGACCCAGCTGGTAGTGGCTGAGCAGATGGTGGAGCTGAGCAGGGGTCAGCGTGGGGTGGTCAGTGCGTAGACTGTTCCACGAAGCCTGGTGGGAAGATGAGTTGAGAAGGCTTTGATCACCATGGAGCAGCTGAAAAATCTTAAATGGAAAGCCCTCTGTAAAGCGGGTGGACGTAGTGAGATGCACCCGTGTGGGTGCAATGTCTTTTGGGCACCGTGAAGCCTGGTTGTCACCGAAGTGATGGCAAGGGTGTGCTCTGGGGGGGGGGGGGGCAGGGGTTTAAATGAGATTTGCTGGAGAATTAATGAAGATAGGAGCAGGATGAGATGGAAAGAAACAAAATTAGCCATTCATTCATAGCATTGAAGTTGGTGATGAGTGTGTGGGGATGGATATTCCAGTGTGACTATTTTTTGTATCTTTGAAAATTTCCACACCTAACCTAGCTGGCATCAGAATCATGAGTGTGATTAAAAAACCACAGACTCTGGACCCAGATTGTCCGGGTTCAGAAACTCCAGCTTGGTGCCCTGGCTGGTGTAGCTCAGTGGATCGAGCATGGGCTGAGAACCAAAGGGTCACTGGTTCAATTCCCGGTCAGGGCACGTGCCTGGGTTGCAGACCAGGCTCCCAGTGGAGGCCACATGAGAGACAACCACACACTGATGTTTCTCTCCCTCTCTTTCTCCTTCCCTTCCCCTCTCTTTAAAAATAAATAAAAATTAAAACACACACACACACACACAAAACAAACCCCACCCCAGCTTGGTGCCTTATTACCTTCCGGCAAGTCACTGTGCCTCACTTTCCTCATCTGTGAATTGGGAGAGATTAGGAACTACCTACTAGGGTTATTATGAATATTCAATATGGCAAGATTATAAAGTACTTAGAACACTGCCCGGACTTATTAAATACTCTGCCAAGTTTGACAAATAAATAAATGAAATCAAGTGACCTAGTCATCCTGATTCTGTTTCCTTGTCTGAGAAAAAATTGGCAATTAATAACCTACCTGACGGGGCATTCAGCTAGAAATGCTAAATAGTGTCTGACATGTGGTTTATGTTCAATGAATGTTTTAACCATCACATCGCTCTCAGACTAGACTTCCTGAATCAGTATGTCTGAGGGGTGGGGCCCTGGAAACTGTTTTTAATAAGTCCCACCGGGATTCAGATGCAGCCCAGTTTGGACACTTGCATGGCACCTCCTTATAGCTGCCAATGCATCATCCATGGCATCTGAGCTGGGACTGGTGATAACATGGAGTTCAAGGGAAGATCCAAGGGTAAGATAAGCTGAACACAGAGGATGACTGAGAAGTCAGAGGTCAAGGGTCAGGAATCACCTTGAGCAGGGATGTGCGGGGCACACAGAGCAGGTTCACAGCCATTGACAGTTTCCGGAAGAACTCGGTGGCAATGTCCCCCAGCCCAGCCCCCTGCAGCCAGTCTAAGACAAGGTCCAGGTTGGTCCGGATTTGGACAGCTCGAGACCACTGATAGAAAGGTCGGCCTTGACCTGTGGGGGAAGGGTATGAACAGCAGTGGGTGTGTGGACCCTGGCCTTCTGCCTCCCAGACCCCTCCCGTCCTGTAGCTTGGGATCTGGAGCGTGCTTTCCAGTCCCTAAAGGTTGGGCCTTGGCCTGTTATGTGTCTGACTCTCAACATGGATCGCAGTGGTCTGTCCATGCCTCCTTGACCCTCCCAGTCTGACCCTCCCAGTCTGACCCTCACCTCGTTCCATCAGTGAGTTGAGAAGGGATGCATTGGAGAAGAAGAACAAGTAGCCAAAAGTCTGTGACACAAGGTCCGGATGCAGCTCGCACTGGCTGGTCAGTTCCAGAGCTGCCTGGAACACGCCTAGGGTAGGTCTCAAACCCAGGGGCATGGCCTCCAGCTCCGCGCCAGGTCCCGGAAGCTCTGCCCCACCTGTGAAAGGGTTACTGTCCAGGAGAGCAGGCAGTGTTGAATAGAGAGTCTAAGGAGATACAGAGATGCAAACAAGTGATCAGACCACAACTCCCTAGAGGTGACAGGGTAGTAGCCCACCCAGATAGTGGAGAGCTCCACCAAAGGTTTCTGGGAATTGTAGTCCATCCTGCCTTCAACACCCTGAAGATCTGTCTCCATGAGCAATTTCCTACTTTCCATTGGGTTTCTAGCATTCATCAAGCCTGGGACACCTCAAGTCTTAAGAAAGTCTTTGCAGAAGTTTCTTGCATATTTTAAGACCACCCTTGGTGCCCTATGGGACACAGCTCCTCAACAGAAACAGCTTAAGGAGGACAAAAGATCTGAACAAAGAGGCCCCCTTCAATCAAAGAATTATTTATCCAGAATCCCCGAAGGAAAGAGAAAGAATGGAGAGTCAGGAAGTGGGAGTGGGGTGGCAGTTAGCCAGTGGAGAGCGAGATGACAAGGACAGGAAATGAGGTCAGAGCCAGAAAAGAAAGAACAGCGCACTTGGCAGGGATGTGCAGGAAGTAAAGCCTTGAAGGAAAGGGGTTCGCCAATCAAGGCTCCTCCAGGGACACAGACTGTCTGTCCCCAAAGATCCCCTTTCATTTCACAGATAGGGAATCGGACCCCCATAAGCCAGGAACCCTGAGAATTCCAAGAAGCAACGCTAAGGGTGAGGGTGGTATTGGGGGGGGGGGCAGGGGGGAGGGACCTGGGGCAGCAAGTAGCTCCTGTAGGATGGACACTCCAGGGAGAAAAAGGTCTGTGGCTCAGAAAAGAGAGTGAATTCAGAGTGATAGAAAGTGAAGTCAGCAGACACAGGGAGAGAGGACTGATTAAAGAGGACCTGTAGTTTAAATAACAGTAGCTAACACTATTCGATCTCGTTATATCGATACGCCTGTGTATTTATTTATCTATCTAACAACTTATCAGTGACTGAAGACCGAACTTAGGAAAAGGGAGCTGGAGACCGTGATTATGTGATATAACCAGGTAGGGAGGCCAGACTGTCCGGAAGGGACAGTTGCAGAGACGGGAAGAGAACCCAGGAAGGCAGGAAGTGACATGCGCTCAGGCAGGAAGTGCCGTCAGAGTAGCAAAATGGGAAGTGATATCAGCGAAGCAGGAAATCTTGTGAGGTCAAAGAGGAAGTGCCCCCAGAGCCACGTGAGGGAGTTC